CTTCTCAGTTCCTGCCAGGGCATAAAGTAATAGGAATTCTTTCAAGTAAAGATAAGACTGCACCAAGAATCTTTTTGTAGTAAAAGAATCAGAACCTTTGACCGGTTATTAGTACTGCCTGTCTTCTTGTCCCAATGACAAATAATCCCCTCATTTCGTGTTAGGCTTTCCCAAGGACATGAAATCAGGTGAAATCTCACCAATGAGGTCAGGGACGGTAATAGAAGATGGACAGATATAATTACTCTTTCTAAGACTACTCAAAACTAAAAAAAATATTTTGGTTGGAATTGGTCTTTTAGGATTTTTTATTCTTTATACTGTAAATGTTTCACACAAATATTCTACATATATAAAAGTATTAAAAAAAATCTTTTTTTTTCTCCACAAGTGTTGACACAGCTCATAATGCAAATACAGTATATTTTGGTTAAACATGGGAGACTTTTAAAAAATATATATGGAAAATCTGATGTATTTTGTCTCCTTTTTTCCTTGTAGCCAAGTGGTATAAAAGGTGATATATTGAATTTGGCCTGCACTGTGTTTAAGTTTGTCTAAGTGAGCATTTTTACGTTGACGTGCCTTTTATTGGGCACATTTCGGATGGCCTGGATTTTTCATGGAAGCCGTCAGAGGAATTCACAATGAAAGCTGTTCTAATCACTTAGCAAACATGTCCCTCTTCTGTCTGTGCAGGTGTGGCCTCGAACTTTGTAAAGGAGGCATTCACTCAGATTCGGTAAATATCCCCCAGTTCCAAACATTAGGCACTGCAGTAAGAGATTAAAATAAAATGTGGCAAAGTAAAACAAGATTTATGTAAATGAAACAAAAATGGGACGAACTCTAAGCAAACAGTTAAATACACTGTAAACTTTCATATATTTACTACTTTATAAAAACTTTTTTTTAAATTAAATTAAAACAGAGTTATATATATATTATTTTTTAACAAATAGCCTGGCTTTGTAAAAAAAAAAAAAGTAGAAAAAGGAACTTTAATATGACTTAGGATTTGGTGGTCCACAAGAGTCTGAGGAGTTCAGCCACAACAGGCTGGCTAACAGCCCAAAGGGTATCTTGGAGTGTCCACTGTAAAAGAAAAGAGGAAGACGGAAGAGCTCTTACAGTGTAGTAAATTAATCAAAAAAGGTTGATCAAATGGATAAAAGAGAAAAAAAATGTCTTATATCTGCTGAGGCTGCTGTCACCTTGTTAAGTAGAGACATGCAACCTTCTATAGGCACATGTGGAAAACACTTTGTCCCCACGAAGCATTGAAACAGTTGCTCTCGATGCCACAGGGGTCCCAGTCCTGAATCATCTGCAGGGTCCTGAGGAGGTTGTTGAACTAGGTGAGTTAGGAAAGGTCTAGAAGAACCCATTGTTGATTTGAATGGCAGAGACGACCATTTTTGTATGTCTAATGCCGGGCATACATGGGTCGAAATTCGGACCTAAGGATAATCGGCTCATTTTCGCTGTTAGTGGGTCAATGGCACCGGCCGATTTTTGTTGTTCCTCCCCTTTTCGGTGATCGGGCATATTGGAAAATTTGTGAAAAATTACCAATTTTCAACTCAATGATGGTCAAATCGTACGATCATTTTTACGAAAAGAATATGCGCGTGAGCCGTGACCTGGAAGGAACAGAACTTTCACTTGTTATATGGCGTGAACTTTATGACTTGGTCGGCCGATTTTTTAAATCATTAATGGCACCATCAGATTACCGAGTGAACGAAGTTTTTGATTTTCGGATGAAAAATCGTTAGGAATTCAACCCATGTATGGCCTGCATAAGGATGGGTCAGACAACACAGCGCAACTGGGGAAAGCTAGATATCAGTTTATCACCCTGAACTGAATAAGAGAATAAATATTTAAAGTTACAAAACACATTTTTTGATTAAATAAAACAGTTTGAGGTTCATTAAAGAAGATCACTCCAACCCATCCTTAGACATATGATAACGGACGCATCTGCTGTTTGGATCATCAATGTTTTTTTTTAACTCTCATAACTCACCTTTCTTTCCCATAAATGTATAATTTACTTATGATCTCCTTTTCAACTTCCTACTAGTTATTAGGTACAGTTGTGTTCAAAATAATAGCAGTGTGTTGAAAAAAGTGAATAAAGCTCAAAATCCTTCTAATAGCTTTTATTTCCATACACACAAATGCATTGGGAACACGACACATTCTATTCCAAATCAAAACATGAAGAAAAATATATCAAATTTGTGTTGTTCCTCTAAAACAATTGAAGAAAAGTGAATATTAGACTGTTCAAAAAATAGCAGTGTTTGTATTCTTCTTTACAAACTCAAACATTCACTATATAAACTGAAAAATGTTTGAAGATTTTGCTTTCCTTTGAATCACTTAATGAATATTTGGTTGTAGTCGCACTGTTTCTGAGAACTGCTGTACATCTGTGTTGCATGGAGTCACCCAACTTCTGGCCCCTGTGATCAGGTATTCCAGCCCAGGATGATTGGACTACATTCCACAGGTCTTCTCTATTTCTTGGTTTTGCCTCAGAAACTGCATTTTGATGTCACCCCACAAGTTTTCTATTGGATTAAGATCCGGGGATTGGGCTGGCCACTCCATAACGTCAATCTTGTTGGTCTGGAACCAAGATGTTGCACGTTTACTGGTGTGTTTGGGGTCGTTGTCTTGTTGGAACACCCATTTCAAGGGCATTTCCTCTTCAGAATAAGGCAGCATGACCTCTTCAAGTATTCTGATGTATTCAAACTGATCCATGATCCCTGGTATGCGATAAATAGGCCCAACACCGTAGTATGAGAAACATCTCCATATCATGATGCTTGCACCACCATGCTTCACTGTCTTCACAGTGTTCTGTGGCTTGAATTCAGTGTTTGGGGGTCGTCTGACAAACTGTCTCCGGCCACTAGACCCAAAAAGAACAATCTTACTTTAATTAGTCCACAAAATGTTGCGCCATTTCTCTTTAGGCCAGTCAATGTGCTCTTTGGCAAATTGTAACCTCTTCAGCACACGTCTTTTTTTCAACAGTGGGACTTTGCGGGGGCTTCTTGCAGATAGCTTGGCTTCACATAGGCGTCTTCTAATTGTAACAGTCCTCACAGGTAACTTTACACCTTCTTTCATCTTCCTGGAGCTGATTGTTGGCTGAGTCCTTGCCATTTTGGCTATTCTTCTATCCATTCGAATGGTAGTTTTTCGCTTTCTTCCACGTCTTTCAAGTTTTGGTTGCCATTTTAAAGCATTTGCGATCATTTTAGCTGAGCAGCCGATCATTTTCTGCACTTCTTTATATGTTTTCCCCTCTCCAATCAACTTTTTAATCAAGGTACGCTGTTCTTCTGAACAATGTCTGGAACGACCCATTCTCCTCAGAATTTCAGAGAGAAATGCACTGTAACCAGCATGTACAACATTTGCTGCCTTCCTTCCTTAAATAAGGGCAATAATTGCCACCTGTTTTTCAAAGAATGAATGACCTCACTAATAGAACTCCACACTGCTATTATTTTGAACATGCCCCTTTCAATTAGTGATTCAATTACACAGAATCAGCAGCATGCATGTCATGACTGTTGGGTCTGTTGGATTTCTATTACTCTACTACACCTGCTAGTAAATTATTTGCCATGTAGAAATATCATTTCTACCAAAAACAGTGATTGATCCGGTTAGTGATGTCTGACTGCTATTATTTTGAACACAACTGTATATACAGTATATTTTTATATGTCTTCTAGTCCCTGCACTTCACAAAACTTTACATTGATCAGCTTTCCCGTACAAGCCTGCGAGGTGGTTATATAACTGGTCGGCAGAAAGACTAAGCTGAGCATGTCATGGATTACGACCCATCAGAGATCTATCTCTCTGTTTTCCAAGAAGCAGACGTATAGAGGAGATGTAACTGGGATAACCGTGGAAATAGCATAGACAGACTCTTAAACTAAGAATTAAACAACACATCAGTTTTCATATGAAAGTTACATATGAACAGACTTATTTTCTGGAAAAGTTTACAATCCATTACAAATTCCATGACAGTTATACAGCATAGGGTATTGATGTATAGGGATGTCTTCTGTTTCCCAAGCTATCAAAAGAAAACAGGAAAATAACCACTGCAAGCTTTCAAGTGCTACATAGAGTCACAACACATATGACAAAGTATAGTAAAATGATCCCTTTTATGAATTAACCACTTCATATCTGGACACTTTCACCCCCTTCTTTTCCAGGCCAATTTTCAGCTTTCAGCGCTGTCACACTTTGAATGACAACACTGTACCCATATGAATTTTGTAGCATTTTGTTAAGACAGATAAAACTTTATTTTGGTGGTATTTATTCACCACTGGAATTTGTATTTTTTTTTTTGCTATATAAATGAAAAAGTCCAAAAAGTTTGAAAAAAAGTGTTTTTTTAAATAAAATTTTGCAAATAAATAATCTTTCTTCATAAATCTTGGCGAAAATGTATTCAGTTATCTTTTTAGTAAAAAAAAAAAAACCCAAATAAGTTTATAACCAAAAATTATAATTTAAAAAAAAAAGGTTTACATTTTTATTTTATTTTTTTATATTATTATTTATGTTTTTTTTTAACATACTGTCACTCTAGCAGTACCATGTGACACCATAGTGACACTGAACTACTTGTGGGGGGGTGATGAAGATTTTTTTTTTTTTTACACTGATTGCTTTTATACCCATAAAGGCTGTAAAAGCAATAATTTCTCCTTCTCTCTGGCTGCTTTCTTGCAGCCATTGAGAACTACTGTGAGAGCTGTGATTGGTCACAGCTTGTCACATGGTACAAGGCTGTTGTGAATAGCCTTGTACCATGTGATCTTTGTGATCATTCACAGATTTGACACGTAGTAAGCAATGATGTCAGAAGTGACATCTTGCTTACTCCTATTCATGTGATCACTGATTGGCCAATCAGTGATCACATGATTGGGCCTCACACAGAGGTCCCGTACAGCGATTGATGCCACGCGCTCCCAGGGAGCGTGCACAGTCCAAAATGCGGGCACTGTTTATGAATGGCAACCCGCCCCTGCACTGCCACCCTCCGGCTGTTTATATACATAGGCCAGACAGGAAGTGGTTACAGTAGAACTAAAGGCAAAGGGTTTTTCTTTTTCATTTTGGATAGCATAAGGTAGGGTTATAACCCCTTCCAGTTCATTTTGTGCCATCTGCATCACATTGGGGAGATTCACATTCACTTCCTGTCTCATGGCCAAAATGGGAAGTGAAGGATAATCCCTGCAAATTAAGGGAATAACTTGGGGACCCCCAGGTCATCAGAACTAGTGTCACCATTGGAAGATTTCCCCCTTATTACTTTTATAAGGGACAACTCAAAATGTGGGATTTTCTTTTACTTTCAATGATAATGGTAAATTGCAATAAAACCCTGACAGGTGTTCTAATCCCCCTTCACTCTATCCAAAACTTGAAAAAACTGTAACATTTAGTTAAAGGCAAAACTTTATTTTTTGGACAGAGTGGAGATGGGTTAGAATACCTGTTAGGTTAATGCTGCTTCTCCTTCTTTAGGGAGATTCACCCTCTCTATTTGACCTGTTTACAGCTATCATCAAAAGTGAAAATAAAATAAAATCCCAAATTTTGGCAGTAATAGAGAGGAATTCTTCCAATGGTGACACTAGTTCCAGTGACTAGGGGAGGGGCAATGGCTTCCCTTTATTTGCAGGGATTTCCTCTCACTTCCTGTTCTGGCTGGGACAGGAAATGTAGGTAAATCTCCACAATGGGACACAAATTATTATTATATTATTATTATACAGTATTTATATAGCGCCAAAGGGTATGCTCAGCGCTGCACAGTAGCAGGGGGGACATAACATGAGACAAGACAGTGACAATACAATACACGAGGGGTTCGAGGGCCCTGCTCTTTCGAGTTTACAATCTAGGAGATGGCAAAAAAACCTGCAGTGGTTAGACCCCTCCATTATCCTATCCAAAATGAAAAAAAAAAAAGATTTGCCTATAGTTCTATTTTAACTTGACATTATCTTTAAAATAAAATTTTACCACATAAAAAAAAAAAATCTTACATACATTTCTTTTTTGTTGAGGTATAAAATCTTTTTATATGTAAAAAAACCTCTTGCTTTTGCTATAAAAATAAAGTCATGGTAATGAATGAAAGGCCTTGTTTTAAAGTGTTACTAAACCCACAACAGTAAAATCAGCCCGTATGTGCAGTAAAGCATGCTTGTTATACTCACTGTGGAATCTAAGGGGTTAATCCCCTGCATTGTGTAAAAAGGCCATTTGATCCTTTCTTCTCTGTTCTTCCCCTTTTTCAAGCAACCACCTCTTATCTCCTGATAAGGCCGACTGAACCTTAGGCATTTTGCACGTGCTAGTTTGGTGTGTATTGCTAGAGAGGTTTTTTTCTTTTCTTTGGAGAGTGCATGTGATCAGTGCAGGGCCAATCAGCACTGGTCAGACAGAGGTCAGGGGTTTTGCATCCTCCTAGATCAGAAAGAAAACTCATCCTACTAGCTTTGGCTAGTGCTGGGATGAACACTGATAGAAGTCACAAGATTGCTCTAACTGCTGATGAGAAAAGGTATTTAGCAGTTTATATTTACTAACATAATTGCCTTTCCATGTTGTGTGTACTGTGGGAGACCAGATATAGTGGATGCAGGGTCTGGGGTTTAGTAACACTTTAATATATTTTGTTGCATGTGTTGTGGTCAGGGGCGGACTGACAACTCATGGGGCCCCCAGGCAATAGGGGATCATGGGGCCCCTGTGTCCTTGCCCAAACTTAAAAAAGCCTATGAAAAAGGTACCGGACCATCTCATAGGGCTCCCTACTGACCCCGGGCCCTCGGGCAGTGCCCAAGTTTCCAAATGGTCAGTCCTCCCCTGAATGTGGCTCTAAGTAGTACCTAAAAAGTCCCAATGGTTGTTCTCCTTTTTTTTCTGTTTGAAACAATAACATTTCAGTATGTGGAGCACAATGATTTATTCTTGTCACCCTCAACTGTTATTATTTTTGTTTCTCGAGCATATCATGGTATTTTTGTTATCACTATAGAAAGTGATGCCAACTACCTATTTTCTACATATACTTAGAGCTCTATTTATAAGATTTACTGAATTTTCACCCAGAATTCACACACTTTCCTATTTGAATCTAATAAAAAAGGGTGGATGTTGGGTGAAAGATGTATGAATCTTGCATAGAAATATGTATAAATAGACCCATTAGTGCCTAACCAGTTGATCATAGCAAGCACTGAGTTAGATGGTACAAAATTGGAACATATTTGTACATCAAGTGCTTTATAATATCCCTTCAACCTTCAAACATCAGTGTAGTTAAGCAATGTCAGTGAGGTCTTTTTTTCCACTTCTTGCAAAAAGCATCATTAGAGAGAGATATTACTGTGCTTACTGTTTAATTTGTTCCAAGAAAGTGGTTCCACCCAAAACATGAAGGATAACTTTTTTAGTTCACAAGCATCATGTATTCATGCTTTTTAAATGTTGCCTGATTGTCTAGCTGTTGCTCTACCCTAGGGGTCTCCAAACTTTCCAAACAGCCGGTTTACTGTCCTTTAAGATGTAGGCTTAGTACACACGATCAGAAAATCAGATGAAAAATGTCGCTTTCAAAGAAATCGTACAATAATCTTATCGTTAGTACAAGCTCTCACCCAAAAACATGAAAATGTTTCTCGTACAATTGTACAGATTGTACAATTTTTTTTTTTAGACGCAAACATGAAGAACCACCGCTTAGGTGAGTGAAGTGGCCAGTCCCAAAGCCTATCCCACTGACAGGCGCCTCCCCAGGCTAGCAACCGTACTGAATTGTAAAGAAAAGGAAGGATGGCTGCACTCTACAAAGGGATACCGAAGATAAAATGTCTTTATTCCATATGACAGTACCCAGAATACAGAGAAGTGGTTGACCTGTTTCACACGATTTCAGTGCTTATGCATAATGACTATGAATAAGATCTGAAATCGTGTGTGAAACCGGTCAACCAGTTCCCTGTATGTACTGTCATCTGGAATAAAGACATTTTATCTTTGGCATCCCTTTGCAGAGTGCAGCCATCATTCCTTTTCTTTACGATTTTTGTTTAATTAGTACATTATTTAATTTAAAAAAATGGAAGAGCAAGACCACGCATGCTCAGACATGAAAGAATACATTACAATACACTACATAACTTCCAAAGTTGTATTCTGTCCTATGAGAATTTTGTAACTTTATTAACCTCTTCATTTTCGATATGAGACTAGCAGGCAAAAAAAGAGGACAATCATTCATCCGATATTCTCATCATGTGTACCAGGCTTTGGGGGGGGCCAGACTGTGGCCAGTGGGAGTAGAAAATGGCCAAACATCAATGAGATTAAACAATGCCCCATCAATGGATTTAGTAGAAGGAATAGTGCCCCTTTGTTGGTATCAGTGGGAGGAATAGTGTGGCCATTGTTGCTATCAGTTGGAGGAATAGTGCCCCATTGTTGGTATCAGTGGAAGGAATAGTGCCCTTTTGTTGGTATCAGTGGGAGGAATAGTGTGGCCATTGTTGGTATCAGTTGGAGGAATAGTGCCTCATTGTTGGTATCAGTGGAAGGAATAGTGTGCCCTTTTGTTGGTATCAGTGGGAGGAATAGTGTGGCCATTGTTGGTATCAGGGAAATAGTGCTTCATTGTTGGTATCAGTGGGGGAAATAGTGCCCTGTTGTTGGTAGCAGTGGAGAAAATAGTGCCCCATCATTGGTTTTAGTGGGAGGAATAGTGCCCCATTGTTGGTGTCAGTGGGAGGAATAGTGCCCCATTGTTGATATCAGTGGTGTGGGGGGGGGGGAGAAAGTGTCCCATCATTGGTGTTAGTGGAAGGAATAGTGCCCCATCATTGGTATCAGTGGGGAAAACAGTGCCCCATCATTGGTTTAAAAGCAAGGAATAGTGCCTTATTGTTGGTGTCAGTGAAGGAATAATGTTCCATTATTGGTTTTAGTGGGAGGAATAATGCCCGATTGTTGGTGTTAGTGGGAGACAATAATGCCCCATAATTGGCTTAAGTTGGAGGAATAGTTCCCCATTGTTCACAACAGTGGGAGAAATAGTGCCCTATTGCTGGTATCAGTGGGGAAAATAGTGCCCATTGGTTTTAGGGGGAGGAATAGTGCCCCATTGTTGGTGTCAGTGGGAGGAATAGTGTTCCATAATGGTATCAATGAAGGGAAATAGTGTCCCATAATTGGTTTTAGTTGGAGAAATCATGCCCCATTGTTGGTGTCAGTGGGGGAAATAGTGTCCCTTCATTAGTTTAGGTGGTAGGAATAGTGCCCCATTGTTGGTATTAGTGGGAGGAATAGTGCCCCATTGTTGGTATCAGTGGGGAAAATAGTGCCCCACCATTGGTTTTAGTGGGAGGAATCGTGCCCCATTGATATATCAATGGGGAAAATAGTGCCCCATCATTGGTTTCAGTGGAACTAATAGTGCTTCATTGTTGGTATCAGTGGAAGGAATAGAGCCCCATCATTGGTTTCAGTGGGAGGAATAGTGCCCCATTGTTGGTGTCAGTGGGGGGAATAGTGCCCCATCATTGGTTTCAGTGGGAGGAATAGTGCCCCATTGTTGGTGTCAGTGGGGGGAATAGTGCCCCATTGTTGGTATCAGTGGGAGAAATGGTGCCAGATCATTTGTGTCAGTATGGGATGGTGCCCCAAGGGCCGCAGTTTGGAGACTACTGCTCTCACTTTTAATGTCTACCTGAATCTGCATCTTGATTACCTGTTGCTACTGCCAGTGTCCAGGAATCATGCCACAAACCTGCCTGAACCTTGCTTACATTTCCTGTAATGATGACCAGTCACTGCTGCACTCCATACTTTCACGGAGTGATTGGTCTTGCATCTACCCCAGGTGCAAAGAGAGTTCCCAGTTCAGCACCCACACCGCCCAAGCCGCAGCCAAAAACAGCTATTATCTCTGCATATTTAATGTATGCAAGGATAGATTCATGGGTTATGCAAACCCTATTCAGAGGAAAAGATGTGGTAAGCATGGAAAGTCTCTTCCACAA